ATGGAAAATGAATTACGAGCATAAAGCTGTGCGGTAGAAAATGCTTGAGATAAAGTTTGTTTTAATGTTTGTAAAAGATGGTCGATGGCGCTTTGCCTCGCCATAAACCTGACGTTTGCGGATCATAAATCGACGCGTAAATATTTCTTCCAGTCTCGTGTTCTAACTCGTGCATTTTAAAATTATTTATTATCGATTTTATACGCACATTTTTCGAAACCATATTCCTCGAATATGTAAATAGAGATTTCAACAAAGATTTACTGCGCGCGCATCGAGCATAGCGAATAAAAATAAATAATTTGCAAATATACATGTCCGTACGATAAAAACAAATAACGTGTCTAATTTATCGTTCGAAATAAATGCTCTTCCGTCGACATTTTAAAATACGTAATACACGATGTGTCTTCGTGGTATCGTTTCCTTGAATACATTACCGGAATCAATTAATCTATGCAGTTAGTTTATCACGGTAATCATTAGACCAGAAAAGCAGCTATAACTCAGAAGACCAGATTAAAATAGGTCACGCGACTCATACGAACGCGTTTTCTTTTTTTCTGTTTTTTTTTTTTTTTTTATTCTAATTCATAGTCGTTAAAGCAGATTCTAATAATAAACGAAACACCCTACGCGTAAGACCGTTTGCTGGATTCGCTGTTTAACGAATTCGCACGCACGGTCTCCGGGCAAAAAAAGAATAAAGACGCCGTTGAATGTTGGCATTATCCATCGTATGATCTGCGGATACGGTAATTTGAAAGGAAATCGTAATTATTTCGAGCAGTTAAATGGCCTCGCGAACGTTGGAACAGAAAATTGACATGGAAGCGTGTATCTAATTAACGTACGCGTCTCATTGATGCGGCAATAATTTCCCTATTCAAAGTATACGGTTAATCCTATAAATCGCGGGTTTCTAAATTTAGTCGACGCTCGGTGAAATCGGCCATTAATCTTGCATTTATTCGTCGCCCGATATACTCGCGTATTCTGTACTGTATCAGTCCCGTCCATCGAACATCTTTCGTTAGTCACGTTGTGTCGTTTGCCCACGCTGCGTCCAATGGCGTACCCTCTCTCGACGTTATCTCCGGACCAGACGTTCGTACCCGTTTTATCGACAATTTAAACGTGGGCCTGATGAGCCCAGCTTCAATTAAACGTACTCCATGCGCTCGCAATTGTCTTCAATCTTTGTACGCTCACGTGGAAATTGACTCGCCGTGCTTCGCGATACTCGCTTTTACTTAGATTTAATTGCCAGCTTAGAACCGTACGAGGATCACTCTTCCAACGCAGACGAACGAAACCATCGGCACCGAATTGACTTTCTTTTCCGATTGTCGTTAAACGTGGGGAAATATCACGCATGATTGAAATTTATTTGAATTAAAAAACTTTGTATACACGATTGAGTTTGTGTGTGGACGTTTCTTGGTATCCGTTTCCCTTTAATTCTCAGGAAAATTCTGAGATTCGGTATAGTATATTGGAAAAGGTAGTAGGGCTATGGGACGTGTGATTCGAATGAAACGACAATAATTACTAATCGAATGTACTTTTTATTAAATGATATATAGAAGGTATATCTAAGAGTTCAGTTCTGTTCTCTAAGAGATCTGTTGGAAGGCTGTGACTTCACCCGCAGAAGAAAGGCGAGAGTACTATAATAAACACCATTGAGTTCGTAGAACCCATGGCCAAAACTCCAGACATATACAATCGTCACTGGAGACGATGTTTGTAGCAACGTGAGACGGTTAGGAAATCCAACATAGTAACTTCGTAAGGTGTTATAGAACGTCGTAGCCATTCATTTATTTTCTTTTTGTTTTGATTCTGTATCTATAGATTTGTGTATTTATGCTTGTATAATCCCTAGATTGCTTTATGCTTCAGGAATGGTTTATAAAAGAATAATAGACAAACGTTTTTGATATGTTCAAGTGTCCGATAATATTTTCTTTAAAAATACTTTGATCGATTACTGTTTGTGGTAGAGTTCCACAAAGTATGTACAAAGTATTATACCTCAGTTCATTAACAAACGCTACATGCTTTGGGACTATCACTCTGTTCATGAATAAAAATCATAGAAGGTTTAGTTTCTTCGAACTTTTCTAAAAAATTTCCTTCCGAGATATTCAAATACATATGTTTATGGATTTTATCGCCGATAAGCGAGAGTTCTCTGAATCCGGAAGCCCAAATCATTATTCCATCGTGGGCTTTACTTCGTAAGTTACGAGCATCCACGTCGGCGTAAAGTTTTCACCAGATCAGTGTCCCACCGTGTGATTTGAATATTTGAAATTTACATTCATTAGAAAACAATACGTTTTCCCATAATTTAAAATCTTTTGTTACGAATTCTTTCCTTTTCCTCTCGATTTATCTTATTCGTTGGATTTCCTTTCATGGCACGTAAGCACGCTATCTGATGTTTCCCAATATTATTCGTACGATATTTTTATCTGATTTCGTCGCCACGTTCATTTTTTATATACACAAGCAGAAACCTCAATGAATTCAACTTAGTTACACTCACTATCTTCCTGTTTAATTAATTTAAAAGTGCAACCGGTGAAAATTATAAAGCGAATATATATCAAAGAGCAACATTTTTCCATTTAGCACTGCTTAAATCCATCGTAGCTTGACGCACTTCGAACGTAACTGTAACTCTGTTGTATAAATTTTATTTATCGCGTAATAAAGGATAAAGAAATACAAGAATTATAAAAGATATAAATGATTGCTTTTGATGATCGAACGCAGTTCCTTTTTCCTGAAATAATATGCGTTGTGTAAGTTTATCGAATGTGAAAGACTTTGACGAAGTATTTACGTAACGTTCAATGTTGCAATTATTATTGTCTATTCTAATATTAATACCGTAGAATTGTATTTCGTTTTTAATGTATTAGGTAGTTAATCGTTTTAAAAATATTCATTATTATTTTGAGATTCTTCGGAAAATCCGTGTACGTTGAAAAAATAATTTTTTCTTCAGCCGAAGTCAGTATTTCAGTTTCACGAATTTTCTAATAAAATTTAAACTGTATATTTAGAAACGTACATATTTGCAGAAAATGCAAAGGAAAGAAATGGAGTTTTTCGACTCGACGAAGTAGAAATCTGTGTTAATTTCGAGTACAAAGTATCTTTAAACATTGAATTTCGCTTTCTCGTTTGTCACTTTCGTTTCTTAATTTGACACGCGCGACCAACAGAAGTTTTTTGTTCGTTCGGGACGCTGCGTGAATTTTTCGAACCGTGGACAGCGCGTTTCGAGCGAAGAAGGAAGCCAGCGTTTTATACGAATTCACTAAAAATGTTAGTTGGACCGAGGCCAGAGTAAAATTAGTTGAATCGAGAATAAGAACGATGCCGCGTAAAAATCGTTTCGCTCTTTGTGGACACGCGTTGCTCCACTAATTTTTTCCTCCGAAGCTAGTTTCTTACAGTGCAGTTTCGTTTTACGAAGGTTGGCGTAAAACAAGGAGGATTTGTAAGAAATTAACGATCGATCGTCAGAGGAATATATATATTTTTAGAAATTCTTGCATCTTGGTTCGCAGTAGATTTTATTTTATTTTGTTTGACACGATAGCCAAAAGGTTGTGTACCACTGTTTTATGGCACGTCTTTTGTAGTAATTTTCTTATGATGTTGGGGTGGTAACCCTCTATTCAATACCTCAAGGCCTTCTCAAAGAATTCTCCTGCTCCGGTTCAAACAAAGAGACTCGAAAAGCACGTGCGCGTATAACCGGATCGGTTTAAGGGATCCTCTATTCGAGAACTCTAAAAAATGACGTTTCTTTCCGGATTTTTTACTCGAACATTAACGATAATAGCTAGAGAAAAATATTAGAAATTGTTGTAAAGACTCTTTAAAGAAAAATAGTAAAATTTTTAAATTGTATATACCGTGATAAAGTTTGCTATTGTAATTTAGTGATTAGTTTAATTGCATAAGCCGGGGAATGAGGTTTTATTCATTGGTATTTCAGAGTAATTGTCCAAACGTTTTTATTGATTACGACGTTTCGGCCCTGTATATGGAGCCCTCTTGAAAGGCTTCTAAATCCCATAATTCCTTATAACTGCGTTTATAATATTCGTAACCTTCGTGTTACTCCAGATAAAGTTTGTATTTTTTAAATCTATAGATCCAAAACGTTAAGTTAGTAAGTGTGTAGACTAATAAACAAACTGAAATTTATAAGCTTATTTTCCAATTAGAAGAGATGTTGGCACAGGTGCGCCACAACTTTGTACACATTTTCCATTATTCCCATACATCGTACCTTCGTGTAAATTCCCGATATACATAACATTGTACTTAGGTTCTTAAAATAGCAGGGAACCGTGTTATGCGAGACCAAGAACCAGTACAAAACAGGGGGTCAATCTCCCTAGAAAAATTAATCGAAAATTTAAAACGAAATTCTTTACCGAAGGTTTCGTTTTTATTTCGTTAAAATAATTGCTGTTGCCGCAAATAAAATATAATCAATCAAGAGGTTTTTTACCGATACATCTGGAAGATGATAAATTTTTTTTAATAACAACTCGCTTAGCTTATGAGCTTATGAATTTCGATTCGGTATAGCTAAGAGGCCCGACTAATTGGCACTTTTAGGCAGTGAATAGGATGAATGCGTCTGGCGCTCAAACGGTTAATAATTTTGGACCCGAGCCACTTGCAATTTAGTAGAAAAGATTACAGTATTTTCTTTGAAGAGTCATTTTGCCAATCATTCCCAGTGTACCAAAATATTCGTAACTTTGTCATCTTGGCGAATCTCGCATAAATATATTTTAGTCTCGGTTCTGAAGGCCTCCGGTGGTTAAAAAGAGCTAAGAAAAAAATTTGTACTTCTTTCGAAGGCATAAGAGTGGTTCCCCCCTCGAGCTATGAGGGTCTACGCCTCTGGCAGGCATGGAGAGGATTATCAGATAAAGTGATTCGGCGATTTCGTGTTTCAGAACGTTGTGCCTTACCGCTGCAGTAGCGACAGCGACGAGGAGCCAGTCACGAAGCAGCCTCGACTCAGCCGCAGACAATCACGGGGTTCTGGAAGGGAATCCCCGAGTCAGTCGGTACGTTCGACGCGCTCGAGCCGCTCGAAACACCACAGAGCCGCGAGATCGCGATACTACGAGGATCCAGCCACGGTCAGAGCGGATCTCTCCGACACCGACGCGTCTTCCGAGAATCGATCGATCAGCGATGGATCCTACTTCGAGGTGCGTATCGTACACACACACACACACACAACATCGTTGCTGGAACCGATTTTCTCCGTGGTACGAGAACCGCGGGAGAGGGTGTCTGGAACGAGCGTGGTACAACCGTGAAACCGGTATGGCAACGCGTCTTGAACTCTGTCCCTGCGGAACAATGGTGTTCTTGTGCGAGCACGCGTTGCGACGAGGAGGAACTTCGGTTAATTGAAAGTGACTGGTTCGGTCGACGCTCTTGGTGTGCCTTGCTCGCTTCGTTCCCAGTGTCGGTTGCTGAACTTTGCTGGATGTTTGGCTTACCGTTTCCGGTTTCTTTCCACGGTTTCCCATCGAATCCGTCCCGGCCACGACGGAATTTCGCGTCCAATCCATCGCTCTCGACGATCAATTCCCGCTGATGATGGCGTTGATCGAAGTAAAAATGCTTGATTCGTTTTAAAATTGGAACGTGAGTCTTTACGTACCTAACATTTCTAATTGGTTAATTGCGAATGAAATTTAGTGAAATCTTGACTGTTCTTCGAGTCCTCGACATTTGCACGAAATTTTAGTATGAAAAATAGGAATGTTCGGTATTTAATAATTTATACACAGTGAGTGAGGTAATATTATCAAAAGAGGGTTGCAAAATTGAATAGATCAGTGTTGAAACGATATCGAGATACGCGAATATTTTAAAATGATTTATTTCTATAGTGATTGTACCCGGGGCTACTTAAGGAGCGAAGGCTTGGATAGTTCTTGTGCAACGGAACGTAATCGCTACAATTTCGTGTCGGGTGAATAATACTTCGTTACCAAATCAGTTTGGGAGACGATTGCGAGGCGTTTCGAATACGAGGATGGATATCTGAGCATGGCAATGAAGTTAATCCTTATTATGTAGCCATTGTTTCATTTCGAGCGCGAAGGAAGCCTCTTGCATACTTTGTATACTCGTTGTGCCCACGTGTACCGCCATCGATCGAAAGTTGAAACGAACAACTTGTAGCCAGAAGGATACAACAAAGTTTTTAGCAGTCCCGAGTAAACTGGAGATAATTTTTAACATTAACAGACACAATTTATTATCAGATTCGTACGAAACTTGCATCGAACTGTTTTCTTTTCCCACAGTGTCCGAAGGCTGTCGTAAACGCAGCGTTGCACCGATAATTCGCGAACAAAGTTACACTGTTCACTTATCTTCGGTTTACTAATCGATTCGAAAGAGCATGGCTTCGCGGAAGAGGCGAAATGCATTTCAAAGGAGAAAACCGCAGCTTACGTTTTAATTCCCTATTCGAACTCCCTCGCCCGGTGATTCCAGAATCCAAATTGAAATAACTGTAGTCGCTTCTCGGAACGTGCAATTAGCGTTCTTATTGGCGCGAAGTGCCCCCACAGCTTTTCGCCATTCGCGAGTGGAAAATATCCACCTTTCCTTGTGCAGTTTTCGTTTCTGCGTGGTACGATTCGTTCTCTCGGAGGTGTAGAACACCGCCAAAACGGACTAACGGTATGGATCCCGAACCCAAGGTATACCTGGATATGGAAATGAGCTTGATCCTTATTAGGGTCCATTGTTTCGTTCCAAGAATAAGAGTGATCGCTTTGATCCGTCGACCTGGCTGCCTCGAATAGCACGTTGCAACTCTCGTGGTACGTTTCGATAGAACTTGTGGCCACTCGATCGAACGTTTCCACGTTCAAACATCTACGAACATTAGTAAATAGAGAAAATGTTCGATGAGTATATTGGTAATCGATACGAGAAAGTTCTCTGTATTTCTTTTAGAACTTTCGATCATTAAATTTGGATCCCTATCAATGAGAACTTGGTTTTTAAACTGCAAACTAGTTAACTTCATGGTCAAACGTTTTGAAACCGAAAATAACTTCCCTTAAATGCATTGGCCCTGACACGTGTCGCTAACAAATAGTTACATCTGGATCGGTTTCCCATTCGTCGAACGTGCAACAGAATTCGGTACTATAGTTCAGACTGTATTTTTCATTGAACGAATAACAAAAGTTGTTTGTATTCTGTGGTTAAATCGAAATCGTTAACTGCATAAGAATATTGCCAGCTTCTGTTTTTAACGCATCTTCGTTTTCTCTCGTCTCTCGGCTGAGAAAGTAACGAAACGGTGAACCGTTGCGGATGAATTCTTTTGAACGTCTATCGTGTCGATCGAGCGCGTGGATCGACCGCTCATTGTGTAACGCTGCTCGTCACACGTTACCCGCGCGAATGATCTATCGTTCGCGAGCAATGACAATCTTATTACGGGGAACCGCGCGTGTTCGACAGCGATTCCTTCCGTTCCGTCTCTTTATCGGCCAGGTGAAATTGATTTACGAGGATGTAGACTCGTTTCGTCCATGGATCGTAAAAAAACAGCCAACTCTTATTCCCCTTAAATTATGTTCGAATTAACGTCCCAGTTTTCTCTCGAGAATTCGCACGAAATGAAGAAAATCTTTGCAAACGCTATAACTCTGTTGCTAATATTGATCAAAAACAAATGTTTACATCTGTAGCATAAAATACGGATGTTAAAATTCTATCAATTCCTCAACAATTGCACGCTTTAAAGTCATTGGATTCCCCCTTTTTTATTCACCGAGTATGAACGCAATAATCTATAAATTTCCACGTTTATTTCATCGACACGGAATTTCCAAAATTTACGAACCGTTGTAGTTTATGGGAGAGCGCGTGCATAAGTTCAAGGTTATCGAATTTCATAATCCGTCGAAATAATTCTCCCGCCGCACCCTGTATCATTTAAAGAGGAAACGGGGACACCAAATTGATATTTACGAGCTTGACGCGCAACGCAGTTTGACCGTCCCGTGGAATTCCTTTGTGGCAGAAAATTGTTTCATTATTATCGAACAAGCGAGAGAATATCGAGTCAAGGTACGAAGCCAGACGGTAATAATTTCTGACGCGAAATCCAGGCCATCGAATCGGTATTTACGCGCTTCTCGTTGGCGAGTATTAAACGCTCGGAAAGAGAATCTCGCCGGTACGGGGATATCGGGCTTAGTAATTATTAAAATGGCGGGAAGAATGATACGCAGGAAGAGGCGAATCGTGAATGGCGCGATCGAACCGGTACTTTTTCTTTCGAGTAATTTTTTTTCAACGTTTTTTTTTTCTTTCCGCCGCGGAGGAAGCTCGAAAATCTTTCTTGTTCGCGCGCGTTGCTCTGCTCGAGCGGAATGAGAACTCCGCGGGTGAAAGTACCGCGGGGCCTTTTACCTTCTGAAATATTCACCGGGCACGAAATAAAATAAAAATTTAAATTGACGCGTAATTACGCGTACGTGACGTTAAGGAACGCGCTTATGCATCGCCCAGCGACCCTTTACGATGGAAGCTTCATATTTTTCAAATGTTCCTATCCCCATACGCTCGGAAACCAGTTTCTTACGCGACGCGGAAAGTTATCGTTGTTTTCGCGAAAGAAATCGATTCTAAGTACGCGCGCGCAATATTTTCGAGGATCGCTTCGGCGCCGTTTGGCGGAAGAAACCGGTTCCACCTTTTATTACGGTCAGATAGTTTCAAATTTGTAAAAGTGAAAACCACGCGCGCAAGAAACGATTTTCTCTCGCTACGATATGCCGACAGAAATCGAGTTTTGCCGCCGGAATGCTTGGAAAATGTGCTTCGTTAACCTTGCCATATTATTGCGCCTAGAAAGAATCTCGTTAATGATACGTAATTGAACTTAATATCGGTGAGATTTTTATAAAATCTTCGAACGGTATACTTGGAGTTACTTTTTATCGAATGTATCGTATTCAATGAGATGAATTTTTATTTTGGTAGATGCGTGGATTTAATATCGGTGAGATTGTTGGTTTTATTATATAGGGTGTTCGGCCATCTTTGGAAAAAATTTGAGTCAATTGCAATCATTTCTTGTGAATACACATATCCCCGAAATCCTACGCACTTTCGAGAAAAAAAATGTATCATTAATTTTGTTATTAACTTTTTAACTCGAGAAATTCGCAGAAGTGAAAATCGTGGAAGTCTTTCTTGCTTTGCGGCGATTAGAATGTTTTCGTCGTTCTCGCTGCGCGAATGCATCGAACGTAAGCGTTCTCCGGGTAACCGTGCTTCGAATGCTCACCCGATGAAAGAATGTGAAATTTTAAGCCGGTCACGGTTGCGTCACCAGCAATTTCATAGGCGACGAAGCTTCGTTTTGTCGAGCAACAAATAATATGCTGGTCGAACAGCGTTCGTTCGCAGGCTACCACCGAGACCATTAACACTTTACTACCGGATGTCCTACTACACCCGTGTCTTTTCGTTCCCAAAACCTGGGAACCGTTAACCTCTTCAGGCCTCTTGTATTACGCGCCGTAACATACGGGAACCTTCCAGAGAACGGCAAAATTCTTATCTTAAAAATATCTCTTACAATCGACCATAAACATCTATACAATACCAATTAAAATTTGACAGTGGTAAATCGTAACATATTGGTTCTGTTTAACTTCAAACAAAAATAGCAAACATTAGCAAATAATTTGCCATTAAGAAACGTCGTAGCTGAACTGTGTTAGTTTACGTTTAGAGGAATTTTCATACTAGAAATATGGTTATTAGAAATGTGACCGCCAAGGTCTCGTACGAATATTGCAATTTTGTAATCGTATTGGATTCGTCTCGTCTCATTTAAGTCGCATTAAGCATTCGTCGAAAGGTTAAAATCGCCAGGCACTCGACCGATTTCTAACGACGAATTTCTTTGCTCCCAGCGATGGATCGTACGCGCTCGAACGCGTCTATTAAACGCTGGCTAAAACAAGCGGACGTTAAAGTGTTAAGTGGAAAGAAATCTGCCGCGAAACGAACTCGTACAGCACGTAGCCAGATCCGGCAGCACGCGTAAAACGAATCGGACACGCACGCCGCGAAGACGCTATAATACTCGTGCATTACAGCTCTCGAGGACAAGCTTTTTTGTTGAAAGAGATAGCGCTTCTAACTTCCCGTCAACAATTTAGTACTCTGTTCGAGGTTCGATGTGTGCCTTTTCCTTTTTGCATACGTGCAATTTGTTACTCGTCGCATGGAAAAAAAGATCGAGATTAGATTTGTCTTCTTATCGCCTCGATCCTCGACGTTTACTTTATGGAACGAAATACATAATACACTCGTGAAAATTGTATGGAAACAGCATATTTTTGAGTTGGTCGATGTCACGCGTCCATCGAGAGGAATATTCTGCTGTTACTATTTTGAGGGAATCCTAGCAGCGTTACAGTTAGCGCTCCAGTTAGCAGCTTGATCGATAATTAACTTCTTATCGTGGAAAATTATCGTGACGATCTGTCTCGACCGTCGAGGTCGCCAGTCGTAACGAACAGATCTAAACGCGAGGTTCGATGTTTTGCTTCGCTATCGAAAACGGCGACCAAGAATTTGCTAAAGATAGTACTCGGGCTCGCGAGTTGCTTCGAATCGATGAGTTTCGACCAGCGTTTCCGGGTAGAGTATCTTCGCGATTTCAATTCTCGTTATACGTTTTACAACATCTGATTGCAGGATGAACTGTGTCAGTTGTGTGTGATGGACGCAACGTCCGCGGGAGTGGAGGACACGCACGAAACTGTTAATCGTATCGCGTCCATTTCGGGTGATCAGGGCGAGGAGGGCGATATAGAAGAGAACGCTATAAGTGATTACGAAGAGGACGAAATGCCACCAACGCCCGACACCGTGCCGTTGACGAATTCGACGGCAATCGAGGAGGAATCTTGCGATCAAATCGACGGACAACCCGGAAACGTCGAACAATCGAATAGCAATATTGCTACCAACGAGCCAGTGAAACGTCGTAGAACGACTGAGGAGGTCGCCTCCTTCAACACGTAAGATCCCTTATCAGCTTTTTATCTCGAGCCAATTCGACGTGCGTTGCTTGAAATTCTTCGGAGTTCGACGCCGTAAAAAATTCGTAAAGCATCGTCCAAGTCATACTTCATACCATGCGTAATCGTCGAACTTTCAGTCGATTTTCTTTGAAGCAAACTTTTGTACGAAATGAATTTATTCCACGTGTTTTATTTATTTTTGGAATTACATTATTCGTAGAATCGTTAGACTCTTCTTCGATAAGTTTGTACGTTGGCGAGATTTGTTAAAATACTCTGACAGTATTTGTCGATCGTTTGACGCTGTACAGTAATGACTCGTAAGATCAAAATTCTGAAGAAGAATTCTAATAATAATAACTATTTTTTCGACTACTTTTATCGCTGTTAAAACAAAATTGGGTCAAAATGTCTGTACCTTTGGTGGTTAACCGATTGGAGGTTTTGGTGCAGGTCCGACCGTAAGTCGAAGAACTGCGCGACGTTCTACTTCAGACACCTGGACACCGACTCCGAGCAGAACGAGGAGGCGGCGGCGATCGCCGCGGACGACTCGTCGGAGGAGGAGTGGACGTACACGTCGTCGAACATGAACAGCGTCCAGGAGCATCGTAAAACGAACGTCCTGGTGCGGCTCGACTTTGGCGAGACGCCGCGAAACGGGCATCTCGGCGAGGTAGCCGCGAAAACGACCGAAGAGGAGACCGTCAAAGGCGTCGGGATGGAGTGCGTCGACGAGACTTCAAACGAAACCGACGCGTCTTCTCAGCAGGAGAAAGACAGTGACGACGAAACGAGAAACGACAAGACGAGCATCCAGAGGCTCATTAAGGAGGTAGAGAAATTGGTCAGCGAGGAGAGGCGCGCGGGAGTGCCCAAGACGTTCCCCCAGCTCATTCTCGACGATAAGGGTATAACGAACAATCATCGAGCCAAGTATGCTCGAATAAAGGAGTGGTTGAAGTTGAACTCCGCGCGCGGCCACGAAGGACGATCCACGTCACAGGTAAGTTGTAATTATCGCTATTGTTGCTTACCCGCTGACCCGACGATTGCCTTTCGAGGCGCGTGGATACGACGCGACGATGCCTCGTTCGATATCGAACGCTCGGATCGAGGGAAACTTTAGCCGACGTCCTTCTGCGAATGGAATTTAACGCGTTAATAAATCGTTAGATCTCGCGCGAGATATACGATTGCCTTTCGGTTTCGATTGTGAATAATTTCGCCACCCGGCGGAATGCTATTTTCTCCTCGAGCCTTTTATTCGCTCGCAGTGGCGGCCAAACTTTGTCACGATTGGAAAGTTGAAATATTATTATAAATATCGTTGGTAGTAAATTTTTGTTCAGCAACGTTCTTCAATGAAATATTTATTTTTATGTGAATACGTGTTTGTAGTATTTCCTTCTAACATTTTGTGGTGTATTTAATTTCTTTGCTTGTGGGCTTAATTTTGAACGATACTTGGATTTAGAAATTGATTTTTCACGAAAAATAAATGTTCCCGAAAGGAGTAAAATTGAAAGTGACGAACGAGAAGGGTTCGGTCGTTTACGGTTTGCAAATGTTCGGTGGCGTGACGCGCGTCAGCTCTAACGAGGGCTAAGGGGAATTACAACGTTTCGTAACAATTGTAATCAGCGTGAATTACAGCCGTTGGATAGCTGCGATGCCAGCGGCGAGTACACGACAGAAGAATCCGACGGGGAGAGACAGTCGGTCTCGTCGGAGGATCTGCAGAGCAGCGTTGCAACTTACCGTCGATTCGAAGGTGCACTTGGCTGCACGTCCCAGTCGATGTCGCAAGAAATATTCGACGACGCCGACAAGACGCCGATCAACGAGGCGCATCCGATGCTGGACTCGAGCACGCCGAAAGTCGTGATGCGCTCCAAGCAGAAAACGAACGGTCCCAGACCGTGGAGCGTCTCGTGTATCTCGCAGATCGGAAACAACTCCAGTTTAAATCAAACGAACGACCCGATTTCGCAGTTCTCCATCTCCGAGACGGCGCTCCATCAGCTAATTGCTACACCGCCGACCAAGTCCGTGTCCCTAGATGCTACGTGAGTATAGAAACGTTCACGATCTTTTCCTTTTCTCCTTTAACGTACAGGGTGTTGAGAGAAAACGTTTACAGACTTCTAGCAGAACAGAATCGACCATACTTAATTCTCTGATAATCGTAAATTCGTTTAGTTTCTTATCTGTAGAAAAATTCAATTAAAATTTAACTAGTGTGAGGATACATAGTACCAATTAAGGGTTAACAAAATTACGTTCTAATTTGTAAATGAATTTATTTGCCCAACTCTGGTGTAGGTCGAAATTTGAGTGTACCAATATTTGCATGATTTATTACGTTGCCCTAGCCAGGAGCGCGAATCGTCCATCAATGCATTATGCACGCATCTCGTTGAAATTAAAAGTTACGTTCCAAGCAAGAAAGCGATAATTCATTAATTTCTACATATCAAAGCAACGCGTGTCGTAATATCAATATAACATACAGGATCAATACACTCTGGTATTAAATGGAATTGCAAAAGGTTGCTTAAGTGAAACTCGTGGTCAATAGTAAATTATTCTGCAACGATATAAATAACAATCTGCGTCATTGAATGTGTAGCTAATCTATTATCGTGTCGTAACGTGTAAAATAATTTCGTTAATTTGTATTTTACTGTCTATCGCAATCATCTATCCGTTCGATCTGTGTTTCTGCATATTCGGAATAGAGTTTTAGTTGACGAATAACTGTTCACGATGTATGCAGCGAACGCGAACTTTCGTGTTGAATTATTGACTCGAACGCGTTTCGATTTCTCCGATTCCGTGTTGCAGAGGATCACGCAAATCGTTCAACAACTCGACGTCTACGCTGTTGGAGGAGTCGATCATCTGTCACGACGGCCGCGTGGTTCGAAACAGCTCGTTGCGCAGAAAGAAGAGCAGACTTCGCAAGAAGACTCTGGTAAGTAAAAAACCACCGAACGGAAAGAAGTTATTAGGAATAAATCTTGTAATCGAATCGGTAACGTTCGTTGCAGTCGTAAATGACATTTATCGTTTCCGTTTAACGTTTCCAACCACCAGCTCGTGGTCGTTTCGAACATCGCCACAAGAAAACCATCTAAATTGCAAAAGTAAAACGCGTAGTACATAGCGAGGAAGAAGCTTTGAATTTTAAAAAAAGAAAAAAGACTAAATCAGTACGAGTACTAAAAATCTTTTTCTTTCTTTTATACTGCATCGAGGATCGTTTCGAATATGAAATGAAAAAATTGCGGTTGCATGTTTGGATAATTGGAACCCTTGTCTGGGAATTTAGGGTCGTAAGAGCGAATCGAGCTCGGAGGGTGTGAACGCCAATCAGTCCGCCGGAAGCGACGGTAGCTCGTCGAATCAGCAACGTTCGACGCGGAAGATGAGCGGAAGTCGTTCGATACGTACGATCTCGAGGGATTGCCACGGACGTTTGACGACGTTGGTGAAATCGGGCTCGTTCTCGGGGTGCACGGCCCACCAGCAGCTATCATCGGAGAGGACGATAGTCAGCGACCCGACACCGCCGTTCAGGTTACCCTGTTGCACATCGGTGGCTTCCACGTCCGAAACCGAGGGCGAGGAACAACGCAATAACTGCACGCGCGGCTGCTTCGCGTACGACGACAACCTCCTGGACAACGTGCTGACCATCAAGGAGCTTTCCAATCAGCAGCTGAACGTCGACAGCGACGTGGAGATGAACAGTCTCGGGAACAACTCGTTCTCCGAGCAAGCCTGGGATAATTATCAGGTAACGACGTTTAGCCTTTGACATCCGACTCGCGCCAGGCGTTACGAACCTATGATTATCATCGCACATTTTTTCATCCCTTCTCGTTTTGGTTACTTTCTCCGTTCATTGGCGACGTGGAACCTCGATCACTCCTACCGAGAAAATATTTCAGAAAAGATAATAGGATCCAAATATTTTTATTTTTTTTTAATAGAACCTCCTTAAAGATCGTTTTATATTTTTTCTGGTATCGGTAAATTATGACGATTAGAATTAGCTTGAATCGTTGTAGTAGTACATACGTGTTTAAATAGGGCATGTTCGTATAGTAGAACGTTTGAATAACGGGAGGTTCTACTGTATCTCAACGATTTTACGAAGCAAAGCTTTCGTTTCGTTCGTTGAATATGCATTTTATGCAAAGTCCTGGAATAATTGAGAATAAGACTAACGCGAGCGTTAATACCTTTCTCTGATAGGATGAAGAAACTTTGTAGAATTTATGGGATGATCGATTTGTTTTTGTTCAGAGAAGCGTATAGTTTATTTCACTCTGCCTAATGAGACGTTTTATCATTTTTTAAAGAGAAAGTGAAAAAACATTACCAGTAAACCATTCCAAAAAAAAAAGTTTATTCCTTTCCTTCTGGTATCTTTCTTGCTACCTAAAGTCTAATTAAATTACACTAATCAAACTATTTTATTTCATGAAATTACTAATATTTCTGAAACGAGATGAACCTCGTTCAAATTAAAAAAACCCAAATGGTAATGTGAATTTGTTTTTCATTTAATAATAAAAACTACCATTTGGGTTTTCTAAATTATGATATTGCAAAATCAAGGATATCGTTACTTCGTTTATTAACATTGATTGCACCACCTTAATCATTTTGATTTGTGTTCGATTAAATGCTTGAATTAACACTGCTGTTATCCTTTATTTTGTATTTGTGATTATTTAATGGTTTGTTTTCCCAAGGAAAAATATATGAGCGAGCCGTACAGCGAAGCGCCCGACGTAGAAACGGCTCGAAGATTGTTGGACTTTGGAGACGATTACAGAAACTTCCTCGATAGTCAGTCCGATTGTGCCTCCAGTATGAGCGCGGTTCCCACTAGTTCTCCACTGCCCAGAAGTCGTATGCACCATGTACGTTCCATTCTATTCTTCTTTTTCGATCAGATGTCCGTATTTTTTCTGTAACGCCACAGATTATACTTTTGCATGCGATTTCCTCGTCATTTCGTACAACACCACCGAATTGTTATATATTTATTTTTACTGTATCGTTTCGATGGTTCCTTAAAAGGTATTATTGCAAAAATTTTAAGTAGCATTATGTTAGAAATAAACCAGTAGTGTATATTATTCCCACGAGTGTTCATGTAAATTTCGTTATACGTTAGGATCTTCTAATCTCGATGCATCGTGGATTTAATGTGTCGAGGTATCTTTAATAACGACTATAGCGAAGTTTATGTATTGTAGTTACGTTAGCCTTAATATTTTGTTTACGTTATGGTATAATTCAGTTATATGAAAATAAAAGTCTCGAAGGATTACCAATTTTTAATAATTATTAGTCCTCACGTCAATTGATTCGCTTTGTTCGACGTAATTTAATTAAATAGCGAATTGAATCTGAACTTTTATAAAGACTTACTTTTTAACCTTATACCTTTCAATCTTACATCGAATTATTAACTTGTACCAGTGACGCTCGAACGTATCTCTTTTTCAGTACAACGTAAATTATTTATCTAGTTTTTATTAACGCTGCGATTTCACGTTAAACAGTGACATTTATTTGGACATAGTCTTATTCTTGAATCTCTCGCGTAATATATTTCTTGGTCGAATCTCTCGGTCTCTTATCAAGGGTCCTCTGAGACGAATGCGTCTCTGCAATGATGATATCTTAACGAGGGTAAACGAGTGTAATTACGGCCATAGACGCTGCGAAAGCTCTTTTGCAGTCGAGTGGACAAAGCATGATTTCACGGTAGATACAAATCAGAAATTACTATAAACTTCTTCCAATTTTTTTACTTCATATTCATACCAATAATATATTAAAGCTTGACAAAAAGTATACACGTCCTATTATTTAAAACATTTTTAATTAAAATTCTATTCTTCTAGACAACATCATAATAAAACATTGAGATTAATATCGTTACTAATTATGTTTTGCCGAGCATAATTAGAATTATTTCATTTTAACGCGATACTAAACGATATATAGCATGCGAAACGCTTATCGTTGCGTGTGCACAAACACCGAGTCTGTATGCAAGACGATCAATTCGTTATCTTGATTTAACTACGCTTCAGATAACTATGATAGATTTAGAAATTTTCGTCCTTGGTCGAGACACGTTCCGAGCGCCACTGGTACCAGCGCAACGAAAGCATCGTTAAATTCTCTGCCTCGTTTCAATATCTTTCGATCAGTGATACGCAACTGTTCGACAGAAATATCCCAGTTAATTTCAATTTAAGTTTTCTTTAACTCTGAATAAAATTAAACAATCTGGCCAACAGTGAGTCCAATCTTAACGAACAATTGTATCTGAATATTTAAACAGTGGTGATAAATTCCTTCAAGTTGCATGCAATGAATACTTTTAACGAATCATGTATTTCTAATCGTGTCTAGAATGTTTTTTAACGTTTAGCGAGTAACGTATTAAAGCGACGAACGGATTTAACGACCGTGTGTTTTGCATATGTTACAGGAAATCACAGATACCACGGAAGACAGCGACAGTGACGTGGAGGACATTCGGAATGTCGTAGAAAAGTCACAGTCGCAGTTAGTGTTCGCTGAAAATCTGTTTTTAAGGTCGAACGACGGGACAATGCCCGAGGATTGCGTACGTATTTCCCCAGAAAAGTTTCTGCTTCTGTACTTGATAGCGAGAAAGCTGTACAGGTTGCTTGAGACTTTCCTGAAAAATATCACCAAGTTTGCTTTCAATTTCTATCGCATAACTGTTTGCACTGCTACTAATGTCGTGCGTGTGTGCAAACGCATGAAGTCCTTTCTGTTGAACTTTACCGCCCACGTCTCGGGCAACTACGGAAAGTTTGATTAGGTTTGCACGCTTTTGCGTCTCCTTCCACGAGCTTGTACGATCATTTCGCGTATTAAAATAATATATTAGTTCCTTATTTTTACCGTTATCATTGACGATATTGACGTTGAGTCTTACTTTTATTTGTAATATATTTAATTTATGTATATTTTAGAACAGAATTTAGGTTTATCTATAGAGTGTATAGTATACTGATATATTGTTCTATTTAGCACTAAATATATCGACAATTCGTGTATATTAATTCGTATGCCATTTGGATGCATAAGTCAAAGTAGATTTTAAAATAAACATAGAAGATAGCATAAATTATAGTAGTAGGCATAGTGATCGGATAGGGGATGAAAAGTCCTTTAAAATGAGCGTTTGTACGAGTCGATAGCGTAATTAGTTCCGGAGATATGACAATTTTTGTTTCAAGTCGAGCGTCAAAGTAAATGTCAAAATAAACATAGAAGATAGCATAAATTATAGTAGTAGGCATAGTGATCGGATAGGGGATGAAATGTCCTTTAAAATGAGCGTTTGTACGAGTCGATAGCGCATAATTAGTTCCGGAGATATAGCGTTTTTAGTTTCGCGTCGATGCGGTGGCTAGTTTAGGAGCTAGGGTTTGTTTACGTTTTGTTGTGCGCGCGCGAGTTCATTCATCTCGCTCGCGTAGATAGTAAACAGTGCGTAGTAAATTCTTGGAAATACTACGCCGAAACTAGGTCACGAGAATCACGTACGTGGGGTAGGTCAGCACCACGCACGTGCGACAAGGAGGTCCGACTCCGCTAGACGAAGACAGAGATAGTCGAATTAGAAAAATTACCCCTTTACATAAATTTCGATATCTCCGAAACGGAAAGTCCGATCGACAAAAACCAAAAGCCATTTTAAAGGGGAAGGTTCACCGCTTCTAACGATTGCTCATTTATTAATAAAACACTAGTAGTTTAGGAACTGTAAGCGTCTAAAGTTTTTAATATTTTTAATACGCGTTAATAGGCTTTCGTAAGGCGGAGAGTCAGGCGTAGCGGAATTTTAAAAATTACGATTGTCTTTACACGATGATATCTCGAAAACGGAAAGTCCTATCGACAAAATTCAAAAAGCATATTAAAGGGAAAGGTTTGCCGCTTCTAACGGCGGTTGAAAAATGGATAAAGCACTAGTAGTTTCGGAACTGCATGCATCCGAAGTTTAACTATTTTTAATACGCGTTTGTGACCGGTCGTGGTAGGTTTAATGTTAATGAACGATATTCGAGCGTTTTAAACAGTGGACATCAATAAAATTATTTATATTAAACGCATTTATTTTAATACGAGTAAAACGTTGCTTTTCATTTTGTGTGTTTGTGGTCGTTCACCTGATTCATCCTTACAAGAAATGTCGTGCAATCATTCGATATTTGCGATTGGCATAATTATACATTAATACGTGATTGGTCGGTCATATTATCTTTTTTGACGCGCACGTAATGAAAACTGAACCAAATTTTATAGAAACAACCGGAATTTTTCTCCGTCGATATATTATTTTCACTCCACCTTTTACAATTTTAAAAATTTATAATAATTATTTTCAAGCATTCTAGGGATCTCGTACACACTTGTATATTACTATAGTTGTGAATATACATTGCGTGGGTTAATCAAAAATAAAAATATAGTGCCCAATGACGTTTGCTTGCATGTTTACCGCTGCTTTGTCCGAATCCCGCTTTCACAGATTGTATCAACATATCACCAAGATAAATACTGATTGGAGTTAGTATTTATGTCTCTGACTTGGTACGCTGACTCAGAAACGACGTTAAAATCGATGTATAAAATACAATAATAACACTCCAGGCTTCCAGTAATTCAATGCAACGCTTTGACTGTGAATCTTGTTCGGTGAATTGTAATGTGGTTTTCTTATTTTCATTGGTTTTGAGTGTTGGAATAATAGAAATCAGGTTTGTACTAAATAAATATAATTTTTATCGTTTTCAATGCATGGTTGAGAAATGAAAGTTCAAAAAGTGAGAGATTGAGTGCTTGAAATTAATAAGACATCTATTGATTTCGAAACAATAGACTGCATGAAATATATTTAAATATCAAAATTGAATTTATGAAATGAAAATGTCGAGTCGAAATGAGTCGACAGTTTTTCACGAGATCCGGACGAGTTTTCGAAAGTATCTTGTTGCTCTAGAACATTCAGAATCTCGAAAGCGTATATAGTACACATGTGCATGCAATGAAAAACTAAGTGTATGAATATATGCTGTTACAGAGTGATTTATATTTTCAGTGTAAGAACAAATTATTAAATGTAAAGATAGGTATATTTTTTGTAAACTAGCTTAATAAATATTATTTTCTAAGAACACGTTTAACTTTGATAAATAAGAAACAAAATTCCGATATTTTCTATAACTTGGCAGGTTTGTAAATGTAGCAGGCTTTGGAAAAAAATTGTATTCCAAATGAGAATAAGAAATTATTATTATTACTTTGATAACATAGAATTGAATAATTTCTTGTTCGATTGTGCATAAAAAGATATTTCTATGGGCTTTATTGGTACCGCATGCTTGCTGAAAGAACACGTAGCCTGGTGTGTTCTCCCCATCTCTGACTTACGTTTTTCTGTTGTAGACCGAAGTCGAGCGTGCGTGTAGAGAGAATCTGAGGTGTCTTCACGCGCTATTGGAGTCCGTGAGCAATTCATTCCGAAGCGAAAAATATATGAAACAAGTCCGTGGTGAGTACAACAAACAAATACAACGTCGAACACTTTCTATATCGCTGTCGTACATAACCGCCGTATTAGTTACTGCTCTTAGCGGACTTGTCTTTCTGCTTCTCTCCTAATGGAATCAAAACTCTTCGACTCCGTATTTAATATCCCATAAAGGGAGGCAATCGGAGCGAGAAAGTATTCTATCATTCCGATCGTGCGATGTTTCGATTAATTTTTCAACGCTTTCGTTGAAATCCTTACCGAACAAATTCACGATGCTTTCGTTTAAACACTAAAAATCAGCTTTGTTTTCGAACGTTACTTTTACGCTGGTTCGAACGTCGTTTGGTTTTTTTATTCAAATATCGAGGAGACGTTGCAGCAGATAATTGCGAACGAAAAGTATTAATATTCGATCGAAAGTGGCGTCAGTTTTCGAAACTAGGAAATGTTAATTAAATCGTATTTCCCCGTTTACTTATGCGACACTTTCTAGTAACCTTAAGAGTGGTAACAAAAATCCTATTCGTTTAGTATTTAGATTTCTAAGCCTGATAAAGTTAAACGACGTTTCAGACACCGACGTGTAAATAATTGTGTAAGTTACTTATAAAGACTGATGTGCAAGTATTAGCATATGGAATATGCATTTTTGCTTTCAACGTACTTCATAAGGCCGTGCTCTTGAGAAATGTATGCATTTGAAATCGTTTACAATGTATAGTTAATCTTCTATCGTTCTTTAATATGTAAATTGTAAATGTTGAGTGAATAAAATTTATACGTGGCACATTTACAGTTGTAAGTGTATGCACGTTCCAAGTTCTAATGCATACATCGAATGTTACAAATTCGAAAGTAATGGCTTGCGCACAAGAGCAACGTGTATTATACAATACTTTTTAGAGATTAAATATAATATTAAGTGCATGTATAAATTTGCCTGAGTCGTGAACTGATTATTTGCATGCTCGGTAATTAATTAATTTTGCACATCGATGTCTATTTTCGTCGAATATTTAAATGCATTAATCGTATGTGATATAACGTTATCTTTGAATCAATTGAAAGGGCAGTTTTACCTCGTAACGTTAAATTATTTATCGAAGAAGGGAACCGTTTGATCGAATGTTAAGCAACGGATTTTCTTAAGAAATTTATTATTTCACGTGTTACCTTTGCGCTAATTCTATTATTATATAAATTAATGCAAGGGGAACGCGATTTCGACGCGATACGCTTCGTACGAGTTTGATATTCAATTTTTTAATATCACACGTTTACAGTATTTTAATTAATGCCTTTCATATTATTTTTATTTTGTTGCGACGCGATTGCAACGAACCTTTAGAGTATTTTCATTTTTAGTTTACCTTTGTACACGTTCATTGTAATTATTATGTAATAAATACTACTGTGTTGTGGCTTTTTATTAATTATTCTCGTGTTTATTTTTTCACCCGTAGAGAATATTATTTTGTCGACGGACCGTAATGTTTAAATATTCGCGGTCATTATTCAATCGTCATATTTGTACTCTTTTAAAATTGATTTCAAATTGTACAATAATCCATTTCGTCGCGAACGTAATTATCGGTGCTAATTATTTGCGAATTATTTCAAATAAAATCATCGCCGGAATCTCTGTCAACTACGTTCGATTAGTTTAATCGCAGCGTTTCGTTATATTAAATATAAGACGCTTGAACACTATTACCTCAACTATAGTTGCCTTTTTTCTTTTACAGCATTTATCTGCCTGCAGCATGACATTTTTTTAAAGCCATTCGCTAGCTATTCTCTTCATTTTTGCACCGTGTACCTAAATACTGCATCATAAGCACGAAAAATAATTGTTTCCGAAGCACGAAAGTTTACTCAGAGAATTTTCAAGACTTCTAAATATTATATGTAATCAATTTACGTTGAAATTGATACAAAAATCGAATTTTAATGCATTTAATAACAAAGAGGATTCCGATAAAAATACGTGCTCCATAAATCTAGTTGATAATAATAATTGAAGATCGTGATGGAACAAAAGTAAGATGCAAAGATAAAAAAGCAAAGCTTTTATTCATCTGGAAGCGCTTCTTGTTTCGAGGTCTCTTGTTCGACCATTGATCTAACGTCCGGTAAATGTTCCGTGGACTTCCGTCGAAGTCAACGAACCATTATCGCAGCGTGAATCAAACGCTTCTCGCTGAGAAACACGGGGAACGGTCTCTCGGTTTCTGCGAAGGCATCGATCGCGATCGGTAATCCGGACGTTGCTCGAACGCGTGCTGTGTGGGTGCCCCTCGCACGTGGGTGGACACGCTCCTCGCGAGTGCATCGTGGTGCACCTTGGAGTCTCACCTTATATGAAGCATCGGTCGACGGAGCCGCACGAACCGATACTCGGTCGTTCCCGTCTCCGTCGTCGCGATTTGCACCAGAATCGTCCGCTACGGACGCGTGCTCTCGCTCAGTAGCCAGTTTCCCTCCCGGCGAGCCTAGCCGACGACGTTCGAATCCCCCAACAGCTGATCCCACGAGCCACCACGCGTGCCAGTTGACGTTTAGACGAGCCCACGTTCGAACAACGCGTCGGTGAAGCGAGATCAACCGAGTTAACAAACCGTACGAGTCTTAGTGGTCCAAGTGTTTGCACCGTCAGTGATCAGGGATACAAAAGGAAAAGACTACCAGACCTCCCACACCCCTCCAATTGTTCGAACATTTCTATCATCCCTTCTCGAGCACTTTTATATCCGTCTTTCAAGTGCATGTATTCTCCTCGAGTGTCTTCATAATGTGAAACGAACTCCTTCAAGTTTCTTGTGTACCTTTCCGAATTCTAAGATCTCTTCAGCTTTCTAGCGTACAGATCCAAGTATACGTACTCCACAGAAGCTATAAAGTTCTGCTTCGAACGAAAGAGCCCGTAAAATGCATTTACAGGACAGACGCGAAATCTTGCTCGTCGAGAATTGTTCGGTAAATCGGAATTAATTCCAAAGCGGACCAACGAAGCTAGACTTTCGATAAACGTAACGGTCGGTCAAGTTAAACGTGGGCGATTGTCGCAACTCGAAGTTGGAAGTGTCCTGTGACCGTTTCCGCGTTTGAGACGATCGTACGAACGCAAATCGAATTGCCAGTTAGCGGGACTGTCGGGCTCGAGAGGAAATTAAGAAGTTAAGGAACTGTTGATCGTGGTTCGCGATGATGTTTGCAAAACCGGACAGCGCTGTCGGGAAAGACGCACCGGATACCTGTTACGTGTACCAGGAGATTATCGCGAAGAATCTGCCGGATGATGCCTGTACGTAAGCTTCCGTATGCGTTGAACTCTCCGCCCGTAAATCCTTCGCTGAAATGGAGAACGTTTTGTTCGAACGTCGAGACAACGAATAAATCCAATTACAGCTATTTATTTTTATCCCATTTTATCTAATTTTTGTTTCACGAGCAACGGGACGAACAGTCGCTTATACTTTATTCTCGTTGTTCGACATTTTTATTTAGGAAATAGTTAAATTTCTATTCCATTAAAGTTTATAATTAAACGGTCCATGCTCGTGAAATCGAGCACAGATTATTACTCGAGAATTGAAAAGTATGCTGGCGATTGTTTCCGCGGAATATGTTTCTCATAGAAATGTTCTTAGCCATTGCTCGACCTAAATTAAAATCGTTGACCTAACCCACACCTGAATCGAAACGATTCTCTATTACGTTTGTGTCACGAATATTCTCAGGTTTTAGGAACTCGTGCATAAGTGTGTCTATATTTGGTAATTGCATCAGTGGGTCGCGATATTATGTAATTGTTATGCTTTTAGAATCGCGTTGAATTATGCAACGCGTATAAATCGTCGAGCTTGCCTATTACAGCGCGGCAGAAGTCGTTTTAATCGACCAACTTTCATACGAAAAATTATTAACGCGAATGTATCACGGCTATTGATAAACGAGGCAACGTATAGTTTACAATATTTTCGTAATTAATGTAAATCACCGCGTACCGATTTCTATAAAGTTTCGCCGGCGAATTGTTCGTCCAGATTTTTATCGTTGAATCTCACCGAGCGCAGTTTTGTTTTTACTGGCACGGCACGCTATTTTGCGTTTCGTAGCGGCAATGTTTGCTCAGAGTCTGACATCATCCCGGAAGATATAACCCGGTATTCTTCTGCGACTGTGTTCCGTTACCTGTCAAATCAATGATCATTTCATCCGTAACAGGATCGCTCCAAATGCGACCACTCCCTTTCGAACAAAAAGTTTTCCTCGTTATTTAATACTAAAACAAACAGAGTTCGATAAATACCTGTTTTAACTGTCGATTTCACAGGTGTTTTAATCGTTCGTAAAAATATCAATCTTGAAGTATTCCTGACGTTCAAATTTGTATAATCATTTCTTTAATTCGACAAAATCAAGGTAGAAGAAGTATTTTCGTGACTTTTTGCACGTTTCAAGAGACTGTTAGCTATTTCAAGGAACGCGACAAAAGCAGGTGGAGCGTTGGCGAAACTAAAACCACGCGGAATGAGAATTGCATGACGCGATCACTTCGAATAACATGTATCGATGATCCACGTCCGTATTTACCAGTCAAGTATCGAAACCTGTCTGGAATCTTTAAAAACAAAAGTGTTCGTAGCTATGATCAAACGGAGTATTCGAATACCTTACGAGTATTAATGAAGCGATAATAGTTGCAAATATTCCCAGTAACTCGTATATTTCTCCAACGAGTAAAATCGAACGAGATACACATAGTTATATAGTTCACTGTACCAGGAGCATTTTGCGTTTATTCCGTCTCCTTTCGCTGGAGTTGCACAATAAAGAAAACTCGATAACGCGCATAAATATTTATAGATTCAGATAAGAATATTATCGTTTCGAACGAAACGTACGATCGCGATTCAAATAGTTATTTATGCTCGTTAATAGACGGTCCATATATTACGATTTCGTTGATTTCATGCAAATTATTAACCGAGAAATTAATGCAGTTGATACGAATA